CATTTGGTGCACTGTTTCTCAGAGTTTGCTGACATAACACTGTGCTAGGAACAAGTGGCACAGGCCATTTTAGAATCAGGAAATTTTCACAATGCAGAAAAGCCTCTCTGACCTGGAAGTAAGTTGGTGATGGATGCATGAATGCTGTGGTCAAGGGCAACGTCCACTTCCACGCTCTCCTCTCTCATGCTGCCCAGCCCACCTCTCATTCACCATCTGCCAGAGGGTAACCAAACAGTTGCCCCTGAGCCCTCACAGCACAACAGGCAGCTTGAGCCACATGTGTGAGCCATGGGCCCCTCGGGCAGCAGATTCTCTCAAGAAAGCCCTTTCAAGGCCTATTTCTGCATTGTGAAAATTTCCTGATTCTAAAATGGCCTGTGCCACTTGTTCCTAGCACAGTGTTATGTCAGCAAACTCTGAGAAACAGTGCACCAAATGATTACTGGGGCCCACCAGTGGCGCTTAGAAACAGAACAAAAAGTGAAAGCCAGGGTAAAGAACAGCAAGAGGAGCACTGTGATGGTGGCATTAGTATACCAGGACCCAGAGAATGGTGACCCAGCCTCAGCTGCGCCACCTGCTTCCTCTGTCTCCATGCCCAGGCTCTGCTTCCGTGAAGGACGAGCACGTCCACTGCGTTCCACACTCCATCGCCAGACCACCGGCTCTTCCAACTGTGGCCGCCTGGCCACAGATGCCCTTGGGACACAGTACGGTGTGTGAAGGAATGCAGGGTCACTAAACAAAATCCCTAGTATTGTTTTGAGTCCCCATTTGCTGAAATTGCAAACAGCACAAAGCAAAAGCTTCAGTTGTGCTATGACAAAAGTAATGTTTCTTTAGCTTTTGTTTCAGAGCAGCTCATAAAACTGGTCAGCAAGGATTCCAGTTACACAGGCTCCTCCAGCCCTCACTACTCCCTGAAAACAGGCAGATTCCATTCCTGCCTCAAACCCAGGCAGGCCAGTGACCACTCCGACAGGTACAGCACGGCAGAAGTGACACTATGACTTCTGAGACTGGTCACAAAAGGTAACACAGTTGTACCTGGCTCCTTGCAACAATACACGCCAAGTCCTGCACACTGAGCCCCACGTTACAGGAGCCACATGAGAAGACAGAGGGAGACAGAGGCAGGAAAGAGGAGCCCAGAGCTTGGTTATGTCAATCTCCCATGCTGACACCACACCTATCATTGAGAAGCCTTCATGGGACAATGGCTCTGGACTCAAGTGACCAGCTCTGGCTCTGTGGACAGGGATAAGTTGCCCTCTGAGCCTAGCTGGAACTGCAGATTTGTGAGCAGAACATTGCTGATGTTGTTTAAGTACTATTATGTTGTTTAAGTACATTTGGAGGTGGTCAGTTATACAGCATTAGAGAACCAGGAATGCCCCCTCCAGAAATCAACTCTTAGCTCTTTCAAATTTGACCAACCATACATACCCACACACACCCACATACACACACACATACACACATGCACATATACGTACATATATAGGGCAATACTATGCACTATCCCTATTGACTTTTTGTTTTCTGTTACTGGACAAAACTACTTTAAAGTTCATAATGGAGAATACATAGAATCTTATGCATTATGGATCACAACAGACACACTGCAAAGTGATGTATATGCAAAGGGACATCCTTACACTCATATTCCAAAATATAGGTGATTTTATTCTTTGAGATAGATTTGACAAAAATGCAAAACCCCATGTGAAATTATTGCATGAAAGAGGAGATATATTTTTAATCTTAACAGCCATCAAGAGATAACTTTCCCAAAAGGTTACAGCGATTCACACTCCCACAAGCAATGTATGAAAGTGTCATTTCCCCACACCTTTGTCAGCACTAGATGTTATAAAAAGTTTTAGAATTTTGCCAATCTGGTCAGAGAAAAATGGTTCACTTTAATTTGCATTTCCTACTACTGAGGTTGAACATAATTTAATATTTATTGCCCATCCACATTTTCTCTTCTTGGAATTTCTATTCATTTTACCCAACTAATGAGTCCCCCCAAAAGACCAAAAAACCTCATTCTGCTGGGGACACTACCCTGGACTGTGAATGCATCACAGAGCTGTGGCCCAGCTGTAGCAGCTCAGTCATTCTGAAATGTTTTTTCTAGGGAGCCAATCGCACCTGTCTATCTTTTCCTTTCTAGCCTCCAGGTCTCCTGCCTTGTCTCTGAAGACAACCCCCACACAAAGATTATTCAAAATTCTCCTGAATTTTGTAATTTTTATAATTAAAAAAATAGTAGAGCTTTAATCCTTCTGAAGTTTATGTTCAATAATGGTGGAGAGGCAAAGGGTTCTTGCCTCCAGGAGAATGGCACAAGCTCTCAAGAATGTTCCTCTTCCTTCTTACCGTCTCAGATCACGTCTGGACACCTTTCTTGTCATTGATTTAACATCCTGAAGGCCAGTTCTTTCTCACTAGACTCTTTTTCAAAAATTTATTTGCTACTCTCAAAACTTTTCTCCAGGCTGGCCCGCGGCTCACTCGGGAGAGTGTGGTGCTGATAACACCAAAGCCATGGGTTCGGATCCCATATAGGGATGGCTGGTTAGCTCAATGGGTGAACGTGGTGCTGACAACACCAAGTCAAGGGTGAAAATCCCCTTATCAGTCATCTTTTGAAACAACAACAACAACAAATAGGGATGGCTGGTTAGCTCACTGGGTGAACGTGGTGCTGACAACACCAAGTCAAGGGTTAAAATCCCCTTATCAGTCATCTTTTGAAACAACAACAACAACAAAAAAAAAAACTTTTCTCCTTCTAAGGGATCATTATTTACAATCTCAGGTTTAGGAAAACACCAGCCACTGGTGTTCAGACTGGACTATATTACATTCACACATTAATTTGGAAGCTGCCAGTTTTAAAGTATTAAGTTTTTCCATTTAGGAAATTTGTATGCATCTTCATATATTAAGGTCTTGGTTATTTCTTTCAAATAGATTTTATGATTCTAACATAAGTTCTCTATCTTGCTAAATGTATTAATAAGCATTTGACAGTTTATTTTCATTATCAGATTTTTTTCATATTTCGTAACAGAAATGTTGCTAGAGAAAAGCCATTGATTCTTGCAATATGTCTTCTATCTCTATACTATGAAAGAAAAGTGACTAACTCTAATAGTTACCTAAGCAGTCTCCTGAGTTTCCAAGGTGTGAAATAACACCCCTATAAATAAAGACGATAGCCTTTTGCTCTCTAATGTTCACATGGCTTTGTCCTCCCATCCCACTGCATGGCTGTGACCACTAAGATAACGTGGAGCGAGAGAGGCCCGGCAAGCGCTCCTCACCACCCTGCTGGGACAGAAATGGCTGTAGCAGGTGATTGTTTACTTTGATGATTGCTGGTGATTTTTGGCAAATGGTCTTTAAAATGCTTTAATAGCTTCCTTCAATTCCAATTTTACTGTTTGTTTTTGTTTTATTTAGAATGAACAAATATCTGTATATAAAGATCTTCCTCAATATTCTTTTTGTTATTGATTGATTATAAAATAAATCATACCAATATAAGCAGTATAAAGTATACGTACAGTTTAAAAAGTATTAAACAAAAAAGAAAAATCAATGCAACCACTGCACGGGTTAAGAAATAAAACATTCAGGTGCCGTAGGAGTTGCCGTAGCCCTCTCCAATATCACTTCCACAAGGAAGTGACTTGTAAAACCACTGACTTCTTTCTTTACCAACTACATAGCTAAATAGCTCATTTTGGCTTGTTTTTTAAACTTATATTGATTATTTTCCTTTGTAATTGCTTCTTTCACTCCCAGTTATACTTATGAGATTCATCCTTGCTGATGCACGTAGGTCTTTAGCTTTCCACTGTATGAATTCTGTGGACCCACGTTTGAATTCTTGGCAGTTCAAGGATAAAATAAACATTGCTGAGCACAGAGCAAATGTCAGGAGCAGCACACCAGGAGTTTCTCCAGGCCTGTGCAGCTGAAGGAGAGCTGCCGCACCCCTCCCACTCTGCCACACAGTGCCAGCTGCCTGTACCACACTGTGCGTGTCCTCTCCAGTAACAGTATGGTAGGCTGTGGCTTTCACCTGCATTTCTCTGATCACTAGTGAGGTTAAGCATCTTTTTGTTTGCTTGTTGGCTATTAGGATTTCCTTTTATGAAACACCTATTTGAATCTTTGCCCATTTTTCTACTGGGCTTTCTCTTACCATGTTGGGGGACTTTTGAGCTACTTAAGTTTAAATTAATTAAAATAAACTAAAAATTCAGTATCTCAATCACAGTCGCCAGATTTCAAGGGCTCAATTGCCACACGTGGCTAGTGGCTGGTACAGCGGACAGTGCAGCTACAGAGAGCATGCCCTTACTGCAGCAAGTGCTACTAGACAGCACCACTCTGCATGTTCTGGGCACAAGCTCTTCTTCAGTTATTTGTATTACAACTGTTTTTTCTCATTCTATAGCTTATTTTTCAATCTCTTTATGGTAACTTTTGATAAAAAGAAGTTCTTAATTTTAATGTAGTCCAATTTATCATCCTTTCCTTATGGTTGCCACTTTTTGGTACCATTAGTGACTTAAGAAATCTTTCCCATCTCGAGATGACAAGGATTTTCCCATGAGATCTTCTCTATAGTTTTTGCCTTTCACATTTAGGCCTGCTACACCTGGAACTGATTTTTGTGTCCAATGTAGCATGCTTTACAAATTGAAAAGGAACTGTGCTAGCACCAGGGCCACCATGCACCTCTCCCCTAGCTCAAGCCCGCTTGTGTGTGTGCACCTGTGTCTAGGCTGGCATCCTGCCCCACTAGTCTAGCTGTGCACCCCTGCACTAAGCCACCCTGTCTTAGTGACAAGAGCTTTCTAATAGCTCTTCATATCCTAGTCAGGCAAATCCTCCCATCTCATTCTTTTTTGAGCTTATCTTGGATCCCTTGACCTTTTACAATTGGATATAAATTTTAGAAGTAGCTTGTTAAGTCCCACAAAAAAAATTTGTTGAAATGATAAATGTGCTGAATCTACAAATCAGTCTAACATGGGAAGAACTGACATCTTCACAATATTGACTCCAATCCCAGTAAGAAAATGTGCCAGGCTGTTCTATAATCATAAAAATAAAATAAATCTAATCTGGGAATGAGATCTATACTAAGCCAGAGCTATAAATGATAATCTACATCTTTAGATTTTATTACTTAATTTTAGACACATTATTTTTCCAGCCTTTAATAAAATATGAAACATATTCAATGTTTAAACTTGGTTTAATATTGTTTACCAATGTTAAACTCTAAAATAAACTTTTTAATCACGTTTTAGGAGACAACATAATTGTCACAAAGTGCCTGAGGTTACTGACCTTACCTTGAATAAGTGGTACGTAACGTGCAAGCAGCTTTGCCCTTTTCTTCTCATACCCTTTTTGAGTTATGTCGCCTAAAACAACAAAGGAAAAAGAGAATCAAATTTCTTCTAATGTTCCAAAATTTTTTAATTAAAAATTCATGATCAAAAACTGAAAGAACATTAATGTCCTTCAACTGGGTGATCATATAAACTATAATGGATCCATATAATGGAATACCAAAATGATACGCACAGCAACATGGATAGATCTCATATGCATGTTGCTGAGTAAAAGAAGCCAGACACAAAAGGCTAAATACTGAATTATTTCATGTATATGACATTCTGGAAAAGACAAAACTATAGGGTCAGAGACAGTGGTTGCCAGGGGCTAGGAGTGACAGAAGGACTGACTACAAAGGAGGACACAGAATTTTTGGGTGGTGAAGCTATTTTGTGGTGGTGGTTACATGACCGTACTCATTTGTCAAAAACCCATACAACTGTACACCAGAAATGGTGAATATTACTGTATGTAAATAATACTTCATTTAAGAATTGTGATTAGGGCCGGCCCGTGGCTCACTCGGTAGAGAGCGGTGCTGATAACACCAAGGCCACGGGTTCGGATCCTATATAGGGATGGCCGGTTTGCTCACTGGCTGAGCGTGGTGCTGACAACGCCAAGCCAAGCGTTGAGATCCCCTTACCGGTCATCTTTAAAAAAAAAAAAAAAAAAATTGTGATTAGCATCTCCTGGAAGCTTGTCAAAAATGCAGACTCTGGGGCTGGCCCGGTGGCACACTCGGTAGAGTGCGGCGCTTGGGAGCGCGGCGGCGCTCCCACCGAGGGTTTGGATCCCATATAGAGACTGGTCCGCTCACTGGTTGAGTGCGGTGCGGACACAACACCGAGGGTTGCGATCCCGTTGCCAGTCGCGGTACGGGCGCGACACCGAGGGTTGTGATCCCGTTACCGGTCACGAAAAAAGACAAAAAGGAAAAAAAAAATGCAGACTCTGAGGCCATACCCTAAACCGATAAATCTGAATCTGCATTTTACCAAGACCCTCAAGTGACTCCTGTGCAGGTTCAAGTTTTGAAAGTATTCAAGTAAGGGACCCATGAGACACAAGCCCTCCCAGGCTAAGGGGTGTCCTGGATGAAGACTGAAGCAAAAGGACTGCTTTCCAACAAATCACCTTTTTAAAAAAACAGCCTAAAAACAAATTAAACCACTTAGGAATGAGGGAGAAAATGCATCTTCTTGGAAACATTTTCTAATCTAGGCACACTATTTGGCTTCCTACACAGAACTGGAAGTGTTAAGAGTGGATCTGTGATGTTTTAAAGGCTTTATTTAGACCAGAAATATACATTATAACAATTTTCACTACTAGTTTGTTCTTTGGGTGAATGAACAATCTTCCATAGAGAGTTTCTGGTGTTTTGTAAGCCACTCTTGTCCCCCCTCCCACCCCCAACAAATAAGCAAAGCGGTTAAGCTGCCAAGAATCAGAAGATACAGGCTGCTATCATTTATGGAGTGCTTAACGAAGTATTTCCTTTTGATGAATTCTTGGATTTACTGTGTGAGAATACTGACACCTTAGAACATCTGACATCTAAGTTAAGGCTCACTGGATGCCTCTGGGTGGGCTTTAATATCCCATCCTCCAGAAGAATAGCCTGGGGCCAGGGAAGCCAGCTGCTCTGAGTCTAGCCTGGCAACCACAAAGCCCCTGCCCTCTGCACAGGGCCTCTGCTTTGACAGCAGCTCATTCAGTCAGGGTGCTCCCTACCAAGCCTTTCCCGTTTATCCTTCCTTTAATTATTCTCTCTTCCCCACTGTGTTATTCTGCCTCTACCACCAGCACTATGATACTGCATTTAGTGTCTTTCCATTTGAATATGCTCTGCAGAGTGCATAATGCTTTGCATCCATGTACTTTTACCAGACCTGAATGGCACTGTATTATAAATTCCACTGTCTCCTGTGTACTTCATTAAGCACTCCGTTTTTACACCAACCATCCTCAGTGCAATGAGCACACCACTGCTCTGACTCCGGTGCCCCCGGGGGTGCTTTGTCCTTCTTTCACCCCTCAGTGGACACCAGACCCCAAGCCAGCCCACTCCCAACGCCACTTGGAAGCATATCACCCTTGTCTTACCCACTCAATGAACACTCACAGACCCAGTGCAGCCTGCCGCCCCACCAGCACACTCACTGTGGCAGTGACTTTCCTCGCTAGGTCCAGGGATGACCACACAAATGCTCTTGTTAAATCTCAACTTGTGTGCAACTTAAAGGACACATTTTTTAATGAATCATCTAATAAAAGATTATGTTTCCTCTGGAATATATGAAAATACGTGACAAATCTAAATGAAAAGTAAATATTGCTACACTAAATTAAAACTGAGAAACCCCTATGGAAAAGCAGAGCAGTCTATTTTCCAGAATATGTGAAAATTAAGTATTCATTTCTTAGAAACAGTCCTTATATTCCCGTTTCAAATGAATGTTACAATGGTGAAGGCACCCAAAAAGCATTGAGAAATGAAACCACTAACTCCCTGTCTGATGCTTATGATATCCCAAAAGCTGACTCATTTTTTTTCTTTACTGAAACAACTGAACATAACCAGCTATTTCATTTTCATGTGTAACCACTTACCATATTTTTATGTAGCCAACTTAACAGACACTAAGCCCACATGACATCAAATGCCAAGCTTCCAACCACACAGAGAGCAAGGCAGAATTCCAAAATGGAATCCAGACACAAAGCTAGTAAGCAAGTAGAGAAGGGACTCAAATCCTAAGTTTTCTGACCCCAGCTTCAGTACTCTCTCGGAGAACAATGAAACATAAAGCCTAAGAAGACAAACATCAGAGCCAAGCTCCCCAAGCCACTGCACAGAATGGGTGTAGCCCCGACCCAACGGCTGGAGGGAACCTTAGGTAGAGCTCTCCTCCAGCTGAGCATCCAGCCACCTGCAGGACTTTGGAAAAATGCCTAGGCCCATCCTCAGGACACACTTCTCCGGTGGCCCATGGGCTGGCAGCTGTTCTTCAAAGCCCTGCAGGTAGGGTACAATCCATAGCTCTGGCTGACACCCATTGCCACAGAATGATTGCATTTAGGATTACAGGTGCTAAACCTCAAGTAATATCATCAACAGCCTGACTCAGCAACACAGTTTCTAAAAACCCATTCTCAAAAGCACTCAGCAAGGATGGGTAGTGCATACTATATGTGACAGCAAATGATGGGAGACAACCTAACTGCCCGTCAAGTTCACTTTACCTTTTAGAATTTTCTTTTCAACAAAATAATTTTTTAAATAATTTATTTTTTACAATATCTTGTTCTTTTCATTAAATGTTTTCTTTGCAGGCCTAAAATAAAAAAAGAAAAGAAAAAACAAAAACAAAACGAGTCCCTTTCAGGCAAATATTAAATACATAAAATATTGAAAATATCTAAAACTACTGATTTGAATACAAAATCTCTGCATTTGCAATTTATTTCTTGCGTTTATAAAGTTAACACCTATAAAGTTTGTAATATCAAGTACTTAAAATACAATTATTTCCTACAAAAGATATTAAACTAAAAACCGAGTAACATAGAAAATATACTATTAATAATATCATAACAAAGAATCAGATCTAGATCAAGCTTTCCAACACTCAAAGCAAAAGGAAAAACATAATGTTATTGTATATTTGATATAAAGAAATACACGTTTTTATTGTTGTTATTGTAATTTTCATAAAAACAAGATTTCACTGGCACAAAAAAAAAAAAAGAAGTAAATATGCTGCCACACATCTTTACTATAGAACACTGCCAGCTGTAAAAAAAAAATACCCTGGTATTTGAGGGGTCTGAGGGTGGGTATCACTTGCATGGATTCATGATATCCTACTGAGTAAAAGCAACAAGATGAAAAACTATCTATCGATCTATCTATCTATCTATACACACACATACAGGAAGATCCTGTTCTGGTAAAAGTAAATAAATAAAATGATACATTCAGTACTTATATGTAGATATATTTGTGTATGCACAGAAAATATCTGGAGGAATGCACAACAAATTCTTAATAGTGGTCCCCATGGGGAGTAATTTATTCATCTATTTGCCTTTGGATAGGGTGCAAGACAGATTTCATTTTTTATTTCACACACTTTGAACTCTTCAAACTTTTTATCACAATAATCACATAAACATTTGTAAGAATGTATGGAAGATGATTTTGACAATGTGGTATGGTTACATAAGATGTTATTGAGAGAAACTAGATGAATTTTTTTTTTTCCTTTTTGTCTTTTTTACTGACCGGTAACGGGATCGCAACCCTCGGTGTCGCGCCCATACCGGGGACTGGCAACGGGATCGCAACCACATGGGATCCGAACCCTCAGCGGGAGCGCCACCGTGCTCCCAAGCGGCACACTCTCCAGTGCGCCACCGGGCCGGCCCAAAACTAGATGAATTCTATGTAGTATTTTGTAACTTCTTATGAATCTAAAATTATTTCAAAGTAAAACATTTAAAAATATGAGAGAGACTGTGCAGAATTGGTGTTGTTTCTTTTTCAAATGTTTGATAAAATTTGCCAGCAAAACCATATGGGCTCACAGATTTATTTTCCAGGATGTTTTCAAACTATGAATTTAATTCATTTAATAGTTATACAACTATTCAGGTTATGGCTTTATTATGGATGAGTTTCAGTGGTTTTCAAGGAATTGTTCCTATTTCATCCAAGTTGTTGAAAGTTAAGTCGTGGACAGAGTTGTTCATAGTATTCCCTATCATCCTTTTCAAATCTGTGGGGTCTAGAGAAATAAGGCCTCTTTCAATTCCTGATTTTGGTAACTGTGTCTTTTGTGTCTATGGTAATTTGTATTTTTTGTCAATCTTTTTAGAAGTTTATCAATTTTGTTATCTTTTCAAAGAATCGGATTTTGATTCCATTGATTTTTTTTCTATTGTTTTTCTGTTTTCAATTTAATTGATTTCTGCACTTATCCTTTTCCTTCTAGCAGGGAAGCACGAAGTCAAACCATGATGAGATAACACTCACTACACACCTATTAGAATGGCTAAAATAAAAAATACTGACAATATCTAGTGCTGAGGATTGTTGAGCAATAGAAACTCTCATATATTGCTGATGGGCATGCAAAACGATACAACCACTCTGGAAAACAGTTTGGAAGTTTTTTATACAGTTAAACATACACTCACCAGATGACCCAGCAACTCCAGTCATGATTATCTACCCTGGAGAAATAAAAACTTATGTTCACATAAAAACCTATACACAAACATTTACAGCAGATTTATTCATAATCACCAAGAATTGGGGACAGCTCAGATATCAAGTGAATGGATATACAGACTGTGGTATAACCACACCACGGAAAACTACTCGACAATAAAAAGAAATGGACTACTGATACATGCAAAAACGTGTATGAGTCTCAAAGACATTACACTGCGTGAAAGAAGCCATCCTCAAAAAGTTACATACTATATGCCTGTACTTATATGACATCCTTGAAAAGACAAAACCATAAGGATAGAGAACAGATCCACAGTTGCCAGATTTAGGAGCTGGGAAGAAAGATGACTGCAAAGAGATGGCATGAGGAATGTTTTGCGGGATGGTGCAGTTCTGTATCCTGATTATGGCAGCAGTCACAAGAATCTATACATGTGTTAAAATTCATAGATCTGTACATCAAAAGAAAAAAATCTATTTGATTGTAAGATAACTTAAAAAATGAAATTAAAAGTATGTATGTATCAGAGGAGGAGCTGTGGAGGTGGAGGTGATCAACAGGGGAGAGCAGCCCTCGGGAGGGGCAATGGAGGCACAGATAGCAAGATAGTGAGGTGGGCGCTTCTCAGGCACTTCCGAGTAAGGTAGGCAAACAGAGCAGTCACTTGTTGCAAATCAGCCCCCCAGTCTGAAAGAAGTGTCTGACAAGGAAGTACTTCAGGCAGTCAGCAGCTGGGTGACCCCAACATGGACCAAGAGTGGCCAAGGAAGGAGCAGCCCCACAGGGCTGGAACAGGAACCCCAGAGGCCCAGGCAGAATCCAGCCCACTGCAGTCTGCCTTTGAGCAGATCACCATGACCACCTCCACGACGGGCACAAGCCAGAGATCAGATGCTCACCAGAAATCTGGGACCCAAGTGAGCTGGACAGAGCTACCAGTGTTCATTCCCTCACTTCATTCCCAATGAAGAGGTCCAAGAGTACAATGGGTCCCAGTATGGGTCACACAAGCCCACCCAGGTCCCCAAGGAAAGCCTCGGGGCCACAGCAGCTGTGCATGTCCCCAACCGCTGCTGGACTGGACGGGTCCTGCTGGAGGTGCTTGGAAAGAAGAGGAAGGGAGGCAATAAAAGAGGATGGAGGGTCACACAGGGACCCACAGGGACCCACACCTGACCACTGTCAAACTTCAAGACAGAGCACCACAAAGAAAAGCAGCAGGGCACAAGCCTGTGGTGCAGAATAAAAGGTAAAGAAAAATCTGTGAAGATTAGTATTTTGCAGGGTGGCACCATTCGCAGGTAATGGTGATTCTTGTACTTAACATAAGCAGGTGGAAATTTCACTTTCCAAGTCTTAAAATTTCCAAACACAAGGGTCTTAAATACACAAATCTAATACATAAAAGCACGACACACCTGACTGCAGAAAGTTAAGTTATTCATGCTTTACACTGAAGAATGTACAGTAGGGTTTGAATGTCTATTGTCTCATTCATTTGTGATTAAAAGTAGACTTTCTAAATGTTAATAAATATTTTCTTTTACCTCAAAGTTTTTAACAAAATATGGAAAATATGTTCATTAACCTGAATACACACACACACAGAGAAATTCCATATATAACAATGGCAGAATTAGGAGGCTCAAATGAACTCTCCCGATGGAAACAGCTAAGAAGACTGCATAAATTTCTTTAATCTGAAGACATTACCAAACTAACAAAGAAGTGTAATCTGAAGACATTACCAAACTAACAAATAAGTGAAGAAATGGGGGCCAGTTTTCCCCTAGAAAGGTCTGCCAAGTCTAAAAGTAACAACAAAGTAGCTGAGCTGAGGGGAATTCTGACAGATTCGTGGAGCTGGTAGCTCACCAAGGAGGAGGGGCCTGGAAAGCAGTCACACTGTTTGCTGAAACTCCTCGGTATGAACTGAAAACAGAGCATCCCTCACAGGAACTGGAGCCAGTTTCAAATCACTTTCTCCATAAGTAGATTGAGGTGATTTTGGATTGCATATGGCCCAGCCCATCCACCTGCCAGAAGCAAAAGAAAACCCCTAATGGAGGCACACAGCACCACATAGGGTCACAAATCATTACCATATATACAATGTCTGGCACTTGATCAGAAATAACTAGGCTTATAGGACAGCAAGAAGCTATGACTAAAAACCATGAGAAACAATAATAGAAAGATACACATAATGGAACTTTAAAGTAGAATTGTGAGTAAAAAAAAAAATTCTAGAACTGAAAAATACTGTATCTCGAATCCAAGAATAAATTTAATGAAAGGTGTGCAGGACCGCTACCCAAAAGCTAAAAACATTACTCAGATAAATTAAAGAAGACCTAAACAAATGAAGACTCAATTCTATAGAGATGTAATTTCTCTCTAAATGAATGCTGAGTGAGTCTGAGTCCAATCAAAATTCTTGCAGGTTTTTTGCATGGAAACTGACGTTTTAAGCTACACTGCAGAATGGAATAGGTGCTAAAACAGACATGTCGAGCAACAGCAGAAATCAGTTCAGAGCCATGGGTGAGAGAAGGACTCTTCCAGAAATGTTCTGGGTCAACTGAATAGCCACACAGAATAGAAATGAAATGACTCTTCTCTCACACCATGCACAAAATTCAATTCCATGTGGATTATGCATCTGAAAGTGAAAGATAAAACAACACAGCTTCTAAAAAATAATACAGGCGAATATCTTCATGACCATGAGGTAGGGAAAGATCTCTTAAATACGACTCAAAGAGCACTAACCATAAAGGAAAAGACAAAAATACTTCAGGCCTCTGATATAATTCACAATCTAAGAGGTAATAAAGAATAATGAATAAAAATACTTTCTCCTCTAAGAATGTCACAGACCTTAAGGTGGGTGGATTAGTTTCCTGTGATTGCTATAACAAATTACCATGAACTTGGTGGCTTACAACAAGAGCAATTTATTCTCTCACAGTTCTGAGAGAATAAAAGCCAGAGTCCAAAAAGTAGTTTCAGTTAGCCAAAATCAAGGTGACAGCAGGTTTACACTCCCTCCAAAGCTCTAGAATCCCCTCCTTGACTCTTCCAGCTTCTGGTGTCTGCCAATATTCTTTGACTTGTGGCCACGACACTTCAGTCTCTGCTTTGGTGCTAACAGCCTCCTCCCTCTTCTCTGTGTGTCTAATCTCCCTCTGCCTCTCTCTTCTAAAGATACTTGTGATAGCATTTAGGGTACTCAGAAAAACCAGGATAATTCTTCTCATTCTGATCCTTAATTTAATCATACCTGCAAAGACTCTTTTTGCAAATAAGGTATCATTCACTCACAGGTTCCTGGGATTAGGATCTGGTATCTTTGGGGCCACTACTGAACATACAATATTAGGCAACCATTATATATACATACATATAAATCTTTTTTTTTTTTTTTTTTTTGTCTTTTTCCGTGTCCGGCATCGGATCGCAACCCTCAGTGTCGCCCCCGTACCGGACCGGGACCGGCAACAGGATCGCAACCCTCAGTGTTGCTCCCGCGCCTCGCTCAGCCAGTGAGCGGGAACGGGTCTGTATGTGGGATCCGAACCCTCGGGAGAAGACCTAAACAAATGAAGACTCAATTCTATAGAGATGTAATTTCTCTCTAAATGAATGCTGAGTGAGTCTGAGTCCAATCAAAATTCTTGCAGGTTTTTTGCATGGAAACTGACGTTTTAAGCTACACTGCAGAATGGAATAGGTGCTAAAACAGACATGTCGAGCAACAGCAGAAATCAGTTCAGAGCCATGGGTGAGAGAAGGACTCTTCCAGAAATGTTCTGGGTCAACTGAATAGCCACACAGAATAGAAATGAAATGACTCTTCTCTCACACCATGCACAGCGCCGCCGCGCTTCCCAAGCGGCGCACTATCCAGTGCGCCACCGGGCCGGCCCATACATATAAATCTTTAATCTTCTATGCCATTAAGAAGAAAAGCATGTGCTTCCTTGACTTAGCTTGGAAAGGGTAAACCTCTCTAGGTCAATGTTGCCAGGTTTACCCTAACCAAATGGCTACACAGAGAAATTAAATGATCGTTTTTATATGTCCATGGTCTAGCAGGGGCATTACAGAGTAACGGTGATGTTACGGCCAGAATATGCCGTTACTGAGATTCATCCCACACCTGCCTTGACCCACCTTGGATCTGCTCCCTCCAATATCGAGCCCACTTTGACTCCTACACTTCCTGCCAACTCCTGGCACTGGGGCCTGGCCTGTCTGATGGCTACTCCATCTCCCTCTTTTCCCTGAGCTCTTCTTCCCCCTGGTCTACAGCCCAGCGCCTCCCCTAGGCACTCTCCTCCAGGTGGGCTGGGAGTGATGCTGGTACCAACTCTGCAGATTGCTCATCCTCCATATACACTTGGGAGAAAAAAATTAATACAACATGGTATAATTATATAAGACAATACCACATACAGTTAGTTAGAATGAGCCACAGCTACAGGTATTAACATAATTGTCATAATTTTAAAAACATAATATTGAGATAAAAAGATTCAGAAGAATCTTTTTCATAGAGTAGATCACTTACATAGAGTTTTTAAGCATGAAAAACAGCACTACAGATTGTTAAAGATATATGGAAATGCAACAAAATGATAAAATACCAAATTCAGGGGAGAAGTTTGGGGAATGGGAGATGGGCTCAGAGAGTGAGTGGGGTTTCAACTCTCTATAATGGTCCTCTGAAAAAAGATATGAGGATAATGTAGCAAAATTTTAATTTTTCAAAAAGTTGGGTGGTGGGTAAATGGGTGTATTATGATTCTCACAGATTTTCTGTATTTTTGAAATATTTCACAATTAGAGAAAACATTAAATAAGAAGCAGTCGTTCACATTCAACAGTTTCTAACTATTAAAAGACGTTCAAACTGAAGCCTGTGGTCAGCTAGGACCGAAGAGTACATGCTCTACATGAATGTCTGCCATATTTTCTA